GTGTACTTCTGTTTCATGAGAAACTATTTGTTCTGTAAGCCTTCACCTGAAGTACAATAAAAAAAAATAAGTATACATTTTCATAAAAATCACAATATTCTAACTATCCTGTGTAGTCCAAAGGAGATTTATGGTGCTGACGGTAGAGAAAATTAACTATAATATTCCCCTTATGTGTGTAGATAGTCTAGTCCATAATTCAAGTGTTATTCTATTTATGTATTTATTTTCAGTATGGGAAGATGTCATCTTTTTCTTCCTCTTGTTCTCGTTCTCATTCTTTCTCCTTCTCCTTGACTTGCACAAAAAGACCGTATGTTCAATTGACACAAAGGGTAATTCTTTTACATGTCATGTTTTTAAAACTGAGATCATAATATATATAACTCGATAACTTTATTCTCCTAACAATATATTATGGACATCCTTCTAGGTCAATAGCTAAAATTTAGCTTATTATTTTTGATACCAGCACAATATTCTATAATAGGGATATAACACAATTTTTCATCCATTCTATTAATGGATAATATGGTTTCTTTCAGAGTTTTTTTTTTTTTTTCCCATTAACAACTAGAAACTAATGTCTTTGTACATATGTATTTACCTGTGGGTACTTTTAGTTCTACAGGATAGATTCCAAAATGTCAGACCAATGGGTCAAAATGTATACTTACATATCTATATAGATTTACATGGAGTCCCTGGGTGGTGCAAAGAGTTCACGCACTCAGCTGCTAACCAAAATGTTGGTGGTTTGAGTTCACTCTGTGGTGCCTTGGAAGAAAGGCCTGGCAACCTAATTCCAAAATATCATTAAAAACCCTATGAAGCACAGGTCTACTCTGACACACATGGGGTGCCATGGATTGCATTGTTTCCCCCCCAAAATCTGTCAACTTAGCTGGGTCAAGATTCTCAGTATTGTATGTTTGTGTACCATTTTGTAATCTCTTGTGATTTCCTCATGTATTGTAAACTCTATCTCTATGATGTAATAAAATGGATTATCAGCAGTTATACTGATGAGCTCTACAAGATTAGATAATTTCTTAAGCCAATCTCTTTTGAGATATAAAAGAAAGAAGTGAGCAGAGACACACGGGAATCTTATACCACCAAGAAAGCAGTGCCAGGAGCAGAGCACGTCCTTTGGACCTGAGGTTCCTGCGCAGAGAAGCTCCCAGACCAAGGGAAGATTAATGACATGAACCTTCCTCCAGAGCCAACGAAGAAAGTGTTCCCCTGGAGCTGACGCCCTGAATTTGGACCTGTAGTCTACTGGACTGTGAGGGAAAAAACTTCTCTTTGTTGAAGCCATCCACTTGTGGTATTTCTTTCATAGCAGCACTAGATGACTAAGGCATGGGGTCACTATGAATCAGAATTGACTCTACAGCAACTGGCTTTATGGATCTCTGCATAGGTCTATACATGTATATATTAATATTTTTCTGTACAAAAATATAGATATTGTCAAAATGTTTACTTTTTTATTCCATCAGCCTAGATTTTCTGATGCAAAATTTTTCTTCACACTCAATAATAAAAAAAAAAAAATGCCTTGATTTCTCGGAAAACTTCAGTGTAGAAATGTAGCCATAACCAAACCCTTTTCAGTTGTTACCGTGTCATTTCAAGGATAGTTTCCTACGTTTTTAGCAGTACATCTTCTGTTTCATTTTGTTTTTTTTTTTAACTCAGATTTATGGCAGAGTAGTGTGTGGACTTTGTCCACCTCACAAATGACCATATTTGCAGACTCAGTTGTATTTGGTAATGTCAGCAGAACAAAGCATTACTAATCACATTTCTAGTAAGTAATTTACAAAGACTCATTTCTTCCTGAAATTTCATAATTAGCCAATTCTATCAACTTCTTTGTTTATTTTCAGATATGAGTCTACACATTGAGTCAGCAAGATGTTCATGAATTAGTGTTATATGATACATCATACGCCCGTTCTTCCGAAATAAAGGTAAAATTTTTTTCTACTCTTTTGCTCTGAACCAATGGTTTATTGGCCAGTCCCTTAAGTGGCTCGACTAGTACACAGAAAATGTGTCCAGTTGACTCAAAGAATACTGAAAAATAAAGGAAATAAACAAAAATTTTAGGACCTACAACAGATCATTTGTTTTTTATTCATTGACCATCAACATAGGTTATCTCATTTAATTCTCCAGCAACCTTATGAGATAAATATTTACAGATGAGAAAACTGGAGATCAGAGAAGTTAAGTAACTTAGCCAAGGTCCCACAGCAAGTAAGTAGGAAAGCCCAGATATTCTCCCATTATCTGTCCAGTTATGAAGCTCACACTCTAAAAAGCACTACGTCCTCTACTTAACCTAACTTATGAATGACCATCTACGTATTTTTGCCCCAACCCTCTTCTCCTCTCTTGGTTGTAAGTTACATGTCTGTATGAATCAGTTGTTGGTGATGTTATAGACATGAAGGTAAAGTTCCCCTGGCTACAGTATTTCCACACAGCTGGAGTGGTATTTTGACTTAACATTAGAGAAGGCCTCCGGTCTACTATTGGGGAGCAGGTGGTTATTTCAGGTCCTGCTGAGCTGGCCCCTCTTCTGAAGTTGACATTACTCCTAGAAGCTCTAATGATAGGTGGCAGGACTATTTTACATGCAATATTTTTCAGTGTCAGACTTCATCCTACTGTTACCGAAGATATTTCTACCCTAATGTATTAAGCCTATTCGGTAAAAACTAAATTAATTTTATATGACCTGCTGGGTGAACAAACATGTTCCTCCCCTTTTGTTTCTTTAACCCTAAGGCTTATTTGGAAAGCCAAAACCATTTTTCTTTGAGATTTCTAAAAGGCACACTCGAATCTCTTGTGCTTAAAGAACTGCCCATTTGGGGGAGGGAAAATAACATTCTAATCTTCCTTATATTAAACTAACGTTGTACCTGAATAATTTTTACATTGATAATTGTAGAAATTTTTCAAAAGTGGACAATTTAAGCAAGATTCACATCATTTTAAGAGACAACACATTCTCTCAGTTGGACTGTCAAAGAATATATAGTTTTTTTTTAGTTTAATACGTAGAAACCTAGAGAGGAATTTTTATTTTCTCAATATGGTGGTTAACTTTAACGCCATTGTGCACGTAATCCTTGAATTGGTTCATATTATTTTCTTTCTCCTAGCATGAGGTGCAGTTTTAAAAAGTATGGACAAATACAAAGGCACAGCCTCACTATTTTAAAAAATGAATAAAAGAAGAGGCCTAATTTGAATAAGTTTGGAATGAAAATGTACTGGGAGTAGAGGGATGGGGTAGGGGCTCTTTGTAGTAAACGGCAAGGGAATCTTTTTCTCAGTTCTTCTATTGCCACGCAAGTCTTTGAAATAAAGCACCATGCGGAACCTCTTCCATGTTGAGGTTAACTCTAAACCACTACCTGTGGTCCTGCCGCCAGCGTCGCAACCCGTCTCTGGCAAGATGGTCTGGCCATCCGCCAAGCGCCGAAGTCACCAACCCAGAAACCTGAAGCTGATGGAGTGCAGTGAGCGCACAGCGCCTGGGACTGGGAGGAAAAGAAGCGACTGAAACCACAGACGCGCGCTGCAAGGGGCTTCCCGCCACGGGAGGCTGTCTGCTGCCCAAAAGCTCTTGCAAAGGTAGCTGATGCCTAGCAACGGGCATTCCCAAACCTGCATGCACGCAGAGCAACCCGCGTACACCCACACACTCCAAACTCAGCAGAGCACACAGCACCCTCCTTTCCCCACGACTCTTCAATTTGGGGGCATTTTCCAAACTGGGAGTGAGTGATGCGTGGTTGCGTCCACGGCTCCAGCCTTCGCAGTCTTACTCTGAAACCTCGGGGTACCCCAGGCGTGCCAAAGAGCCTCGCAAGCGTCTCACGCGCCTTCGAGGCTCCCAGGGAGGACAAAGTGGGGTCCGAACCAGAGTAAAGAATCGGCAGGCTGCGGGGAGATAGGCTGTTGGGCTGCCCGCGAGTGCGGTGGGAGACAGTACCCAGGGACCCAGCGCGCTCTCCCTTCCCCAGGGCGCGCTCACCATTTGTAGCCTCTGCCGCGCTTGAACTTCAGAGTGAGCACGGTCTCCAGGAAGAGCAGGAGGTTGAGTAACGCGAGCAACCAGTACCGTGGCTCTTTCTTCACCTCGGTCACTCGCCAGACCCCGACCAGCGAGTGCAGCACGAACAGCAGCCGGGTGGCCAGGGCGTTGAGCAGGACTAGCGGCTCCATGCCGCCCCGCGCGCCCGCCCCGCCGCCCCTCGCCGGCACCCCGCAGTCCCGGCAGGAGCACCAGAGCCCGCTGTGGGCGGGAACGTGACAGCGGAAAGACCTTTAGCTGCTGCTGTCGTCCCTCACCCTCGGCGGCGGGTAGATGAGCGCCGCTCGCCCCTCCCCCAAACTTTCTGAGAACTCTTTAAAGAAGGGGGAATCCAAGCCCAGCTTTTCTAGACAGCTGGGCTTTCCAGGGAGTCTGGGGCTGCGCCGCTGGGGCTCCGGGGCGTTATTTTCCAACGCAGCTCAGCCCCCTCCTCATGCCGGGAGCCAGTTTCCATCCCTGCCCCTATTCTCACCGCCAACCCCTGGCCTCCAGGGGATCCACAAGAACTCCCCCACTCCAAGGGGGTTGGAAAGAGAAGGAGGGAGGTGGACTGAAGGTCAAGGTGCTGCAAAGCGAGAAGGGGTGAGGGTGGGGGCGCACCTGTGGCACCTCCTCCTTTCTCCACTGAGTACTTTAATTCACTCACACGTTTCACACGCACATGCTTATAGTGACTGTCGAAGCTAAAACGGAGGAGGGCCAAAGGATTGCTGTCCAAGCCGTTTTAGAAACGCGGTTCTTGCCCACATTGCAGAATTGAAACTTCCCAGGACTAAAGGAGGAATGAGGCGCTGTTTTCTGAAAGCCTCTTTCACCTCACTCAGAACAATAGGTAGCCAGGATCACTTTTACTCTTTGGGCATGGTGCTATCAAGGCAAAGAGATCTTCTTTATTATGTCACCCCCTCCACATTCCCTCCCCCCACCGTCATCACCACTATTTTTTCCTGAAAGGATATAGGGTAGCAAGATAAGAGGGCAGAAGGGAAAGTGAGGGAGGAAATAGAAGATAAAGCCAGAAGTAAGACTAAACAGTGGAATTCGTAGAGCAGGGACCTGCACTCTCAGCATCAATGGCCCACGAATTAAACTCTGGTCTTTCTAGCATCCAAAGCGAAGAGGAAACTGAAGTCAGGGTTTCCCCAAAACACCTTCATGATTTTTTTTATACTCTCCTACCACCTGTACTACTGACTTAACATCTTTTAATGGACTTAAATTTTTACTGAAATGAATTTATTTTCAAAGGACGCTTTATATCACTTGTAAATGGAAAACCGGTATGACTGGTTACAGATGGAAAAGGCCATCTGGACTGCTCACCTGGACTAGCTATCTTGGTCTTAGCAATAATTACAAAATCATATTGGTCTCAATTACAAAAATGAAATGAAACTAAGTTATTGTAATTTCACTAGGTATTAATGCCTCCTGAGGGTCTGTGCCTCAGACCTCCTCTTTCTTTGTTATAAAGGGAAATAAAGACATGCTAGTCCTCTTATTGGTGCAGTGGTGAAGAACTTGGCTGCTAACCAAAAGGTCGGATCCACTGTGGCTCCTTGGAGGCGCAGTTCTACACCGTCCTATAGGGTTAGTATGAGTCAGAATCAACTAGATGGCAGTGGGTTTTTTTGTTTGTTTGTTTGTTTTTGGTTAGTTCTATTACTAAGGAGCCCTGGTGGCACAATGGTTAAGCTCTGGGCTGCCAACCAAAAGGTCAGTGGTTTGAACTCCCCCAACCAGCTCCAGCTCCAAGAATGAAAAGAACTGGCCTTCTGCTTATGTAAAGATCACAGCCTAGGAAACCCACAGGGCACTTCTACTCTTGTCACATTGGGTCACTATGAGTTGGAATCCACTCCATGGCATCTAACAGCAAAACAACAACAGTCCTATTACTACCTAACAGGAATGCTCTTTTTACCACATTGGTAAAATTGGGGGGAGGGCACGAATCACAAGGGGAATATCTTTTTTGTTTAGGCTTATTCAATTTAAAATCATCCAATACCTTTTTCTAAAATCAGGTGTAAAGACTCTGGATTATATGATTAATGTCTCCATAAGATGGGGAAAAAAAGTACTACTTAGAAGAAGCTCAATTATTTCTGGTCCTGAGATCAGGGAGATTTTTTCTTCCTGTGGGTCTCTATTCTCCCACAACATCTTTACAGGAAACTCAGCAATGAGTGCCCTTCCATGTAGGCTGACCTACACTCTTCAGGGACGCTTTGGAGCATAGCAGATTAGTGTAGTGGGAGGCAGCATGCTGTGGAAGTGGGAGATACAGCAAGGGCCCACTATTATTGTTGTGTGCCTTCAAGTTAATTCCGACTCATAGCAACGCCAAGTGACACAGTAGAACTGCCCTATATGGCTTTATAGTCTATAATCATTATGGAAGCAGATCGCAGGGTCTTCTTCACTCCCCCCGACCACCCTCAGCCACTGAGTGGATTGGAACCACCAACCTTTCGGTTTGAAACCATGTACTTAATCGTTGCGTGACCAGGGCTCCTTAAGGGTCCACTAACTGCCTTGAGCTCCTGGCTCAGCCACTTAATAGTGCAGTGACTTTTGCAGTTCAGTTTCCTCATCTGTAAATGGGGGACCAAATGTGTCTATTTTTAGGGCCATTGTGGGGATCAAATGGGTTAACTCACATAAAGCACCTGGCACAAGTGCTTGGTAAATATTGCTGAGATCAAGAAAGTTAGTCCAGGTGAACAGTCCAGGTAAGAAAAGTAATAATTAGAGTGGAGAAGAGAATCATGGCACTCCTGAGGCCTGGCAATATCCTCTAGCCCAAGACCACCAGAAACACATCTGTAGTTGAACCGGCTGGGTTTATTACTTATTCAGCAAGGGAGAACACACACCTTGGGGAACCTTGGCGTGTCTCAGTAAGACGGGCATAGAAACTTAGAAAGGATTTAGACTTGTGTTAGGTGACTTTAGGGAAGGTTTAAGGAAGTGGGACTTTAGATTGGATGCTGCCAGGAAGTGGGGTTAATTTTGTCATGGGGTACCTTAACAAATCTTATTTAGACAGGGTGATATTTGGTCATTTTTGTAGTTTGGACAGTGTTCATGTTTTGCCTATGTTCAGACATGATTATGGAGTGGTCTTATTTCTGTCTTGAGCCATAATGCTCACAGAGTGGTCTATTCTGATGCTGACGTTCTCCGAGATTGCTTATGTTCACAAGAGTATACCAAATGCCAAGCCAGTTGCTGGCTGTTTGAGGCTGCTTTTCTCTTTCTTAGGCCTCATAGAATGAGCTCTCTAGGAGAAGGGTTAAAAAAAGAAGGGAGGGCAGTCTGTGATCTTCCAAACATCTTTATTGTTTCCTGTTTTCAAAGTTTAGATTTAGTCTACATTCTGTTGTCTCTGGATCTGAAAAACAAAACTGTCATCAAAGAGAATTTTAAGTTATTTCTTTTTAATCCAATGCTAATCCCATTTTAAAAGACTAGTGGTTTTGGGAAATACCTTGAGATCTGTAATCCAATAGCTCAATGACCTAAAAAATAAAAAAAATAAAAAAAAACCCTTAATGTAATTAAAAAAAAAAACCAAAAAGCTACTCCTCTTGAAAAAGTCATCTCAGCCTCATGCACAGTTTTTCTGATACCAACTAAGATTATACTACAAAGTAAGAATCTCCCCCCATCATTCTCAGGGTGCAGCAGTCACCGGCTCTCCTTTCTGATTGCAAAGTAAACATGGTTGTCGGGCTGCTGTTTCAGTTAGGTGATTTTGGTTGCAAAAAAACCGATTTGCTAAAGCTAGCTCGAGAAAAGGGAGTAGTTACTGGAAGGATACCTTGTTCCAATAAGGGGGAAGGAATGCCTAGAAATCAAGAACAGGTGGTATAATAGTACTGAACCTTGAACAACTGTAGCTAGAGGACAGCATGGATTCAAGAGGCCCCAGGGATCTCATGGTTGCAGCTGATAAACTTTTTCATAACAGCAACAGAGCAGGCTATTGATTGGCTATGGTCCAATCATTGGCCATCCCTGTGCAAAGACCAGTTCAATCCTACTTCCTTCCTCCTTCAGAGAGAGCTTCTGGGCAGGGCAGTTTGAGGAGGGGAGGAGGGGGCGAGGAGGGGGCACGGTAGGCACACTGACCTACACATCTAGTACCATCCAGTCCTGGGGTAACATGCATACATACTACACTTACAAAATGAAAGATGTCCCTGCCTAATACTATCTAAACATCGTACATGCAACTATGAACCTCACAACAGGGACTCAATCCAAAGTCACATCTGTATCCAGAGGCCACCAAAGCTGCAGGTTGGTTTCAAACGCCACAGTCTCCTGGTGTCATGGATTGAATTATGTCCCCCCAAAAATGTGTGTATCAGTTTGGCTGAGCCATGATTCTTGGTACAGTGTGATTTTCCTATATGTTGTAAATCCTGCCTCTATGATGTTAATGAGGGAGGAGGGGAGGCTGTTGTGTTGGTAAGGCAAGACTCAATCTACAAGATTGAATTGTGTCCTGAGGCAATTTCTTTAGATATCAAAGACAAGTGAGCAGAGAGACAGGGGGACATCATACCACCAAGAAAGCAGTGCCAGAAGCAGAGCGCGCCCTTTGGACCTGGGGTCTCCACGTGGAAAAGCTCCTAGTCCAAGGGAACACTGATGAGAAGAAGGCCGACAGAGACAGCCTTCCCCTGGAGCTGATGCCCTGAATTTGGACTTTTAGCTTACTTTACTGTGAGGAAATAAACTTCTCTTTGTTAAAGCCATTCACTTGTGGTATTTCTGTTATAGCAGCATTAGAATACTAAGACACCCGGTGATGTTTATTCCTCCCTTAGCTCCATCGTGATCCTATTCAGACACCACTCTTTAAAAAAATACATACATATTTGTATTTATATACACACACAAACACACCAACACGTGGAAAAAATCATGTACATAGACTATACCTACCTACCTGTTGCTGTTGAGTCAATTCCAACTCATAGCGACGCTATAGGACAGAGTAGAACTGCCCCATAGGGTTTCCAAGGAGGGTCTGGTGGATTCGAACTGCCCACCTTTTGGTTAGCAGCTGTATGTCTTAACCACTGTGCCACCAGGGGCCCCACACAGACTACAGGAA